AGACCCAATCCTCTGAGGAACTAGCTGCCTGCAGAGAGCAACAGTCCAACCTCCTTGTAAGCCAGTAAGTCGGGCAAATTCAGGAAGTCCAGTTATTTAAGACCCAAGTGGTTCTCAGAACAAGTCCTAAAACACAATGATGTTTCAGGCTCCATCTTCACTCTTCTTTTCCAGACTGGAAAAAAAGATGCTATTTATTTTGGACTCCCTCCAAGGTCATGAAAACCCATCCTAACATGCCTCCTATTACACTATACTACCACTAGGCTGTAACCTTCTTGAGAGCAAGAATGAGCAATTCTCATGGCCTTCACACCCTTATTACAATGCCTAGCACATACCAAATGCTCAACATACTGATCAGTAAATGAAGTCCACCATGCCCTGCACCCCAGAAACCAGACCAGTGTCATTTTTCATGCACCTTTCTCTGCCCTCATACTTCACAAAGTCCACAATACCAAATTGTCTGTGCGTTTAGAAAGAAGCTGCACTCCTGCACTTCTTGCTACATGTCATTCTTTAAATCTAGATTACTTTGGGGGCCTGGTAAATTCCGTTTATGACAAACCTACTGCCAACATCATACTAAATCAAACTAAAATGGGGAAAAACTAAAAACTTTTCCTCCAAAATCAAGAAGAAGACAAAGATGTGCACTATCACCATTCCTGTTCAACTCAGTGCTTGAAACCTTAGCTAGAACAATTAGGCAAGAGAAAGAAAGAACAGGGATATGTGTAGAAGGAAAGAAGCCAAACTATCCTTATTTGCAGATGGCATGGGTCTTTACACAGAAGACTCACCAAAAAGCTCCTGGAACTAATAAATAAATTCAGCACAGTAGCATCAGGATACAAAATCAATACACAGAAATCAATAGCTTTCTTGTACTCCAATGATGAACCCACCAAGAAATTAGAAAAAAAAACCACTCGTAATACAGTAGTTTCAAGAAAATTAAATACTTAAGAAGTAACCTAACTGGAAAGTGAAAGACCGCTACAATGAAAACTATAGTACTTTGAAAAACGGAGATCAAAGAGGCATCAGAAAATGGAAAGATATCCCCTGTTCCTGGATAGGCAGAACCAATATTGTCAAAGTGGCCATACTTCCCAAAACGATATATATAGATTTAATGCAATCCCAATCAAAATACCAACAGCATTCCTCACAGAAAAAGAAAAATAAATCCTAAAATTTATATGGAACCAGAAGAGACCTAGAATAGCAAAAGTAATCCTGAGTATCAAGAGTAAAGCAGGAGGCATCACAACCCTGGATTTCAAGTTATACTACAAAGGTATAGTAATTAAAAAAAAAAAAACAGCAGGGTACTGACACAAAAACAGGTATGTGAATCAATGGAACAAAATAGAGTATGCTGTAATAACTCCAGGCACATTCAGCCATCTTATCTTTGACAAAAGGGCCAAAAACACATTCTGAAGGAAAGATAGAAAAACTACACCTGCAAAAGAATGAATACCCATATCTCTCACCATTTATTAAACTAAAATCAAGATGGATCACAGACTAAATATTAAAACAGAAATATTTAATCTGCTGGAAGATAAAACAGGTAAAAATCTTGACAAAGGAATAGGTAAAGACTTTCTGAGCAGAACTTCAACGTATAAAAAATAATATCAAGAAGGCCAGGGATTTAGCTCAGTGGTTCCGCTGCCTACCCTGCAAGTGCAAGGACCCAAGTTTGATCTCCACTACCAAAATAATAATAATAATAATAATAACATCAAGAATCAACAAATGGAAATACATCAAGTTAATAAGCTTCTGCACAGCAAAGAGAACAACCAACAGAGTGAAGAGATAACCTACACAATGGAAAAAATGTTTGGAAGCTACTCCTTGGACAAAGGAATAATATTTAGAATATATAAAGAATTCAAAAATAAAAGAATTCAAAATATGAGACCACAAACAATAGAAGACCCAATCAAAAAGTAGGCAAATGAAATGAACAGACACTTCTCAGAACTACAGACGGCCAATAAATACATGAAAAAATGTTCAGCATCTTTGGCCATTAGAGAAATGCAAATTAAAACAACAGAGATTTCATCTTACTCCAAAAAGAATAACTATTATCAAGAAATCAAATAGTGGGCTGGGGATTTAGCTCAGTGGCGCCACGCCTGCCTGGCAAGCGCAAGGTCCTGAGTTCAATCCCAGGCACACACACACAAAAAAGAATCAAATAGTAACAAATGCTGAAAAGGCTGCAGGGAAAAAGAACCCCTTCTGAAGTTGTTGATGAAAATGTAAACTAGTATAAGCACTATGGAAATCAGTATGGAGATCCCTCCCAAAAGTAAAAATGGAAATTTCATTGAAGTTATTCCCCTTCTAGGTATCTAGAATAAGTCATTGTATTACAGTGATACATGCAAACCCAAGTTCATAGCAGCACAATTCATAATAGCTAAACTTTTGAAGCAGCCTAGATATCCATCAACAGATGAATATATAAAGAATGTGGTATATCTGCACAATGGAGCACTACTCTGCTATAAAGGAAGATAAACTTGATTCATTTGTAGAGAAATGGATGTACCTTGCAACCATGTTAAATGAAATAAATCAGACACACAAGTTTAAATATCACATGGTTTAATCTTATATAAAAAACCTAAAATACAAGTAATGTAAAGAGTAAAATAAAAGATAAGAGGAAACAGAGAGCTAGATCTTTTGCAAGTGAAAAGGAGATCATGACATGGTGGGAGTGAGGAGGGAAGGGGAAGATGTAAAAAGAATTAATCTGTTATGTACATGTACCAACTCCCTATGATAAATGCAATTATTACTTACTGCAAGCATGCACTAGTCAAAATAAAAACTAAAATTTCACAAAATTAACTTAATCTTATCACATGAGGTGAATTCTGATATTTCCCATTTTATTCCAATTTATTTTTTTACAGTCTATTTTGCTCTACCAAATTGATTTCAAGGCCTACTCGTGCGCAATTATCCAGTTTCAAAACCATGAACTTTCTGAACTGAAGGTATGGATGTTTTTTCAACCACGATCATCTCCAAAGAACACCAGCACTTCATAGGAACTTAAAATTACCAACTCTTGATAGACAACTGAAGGGTTGGATATTATGCTCGGGTGAACCAGGAGCAATTAAAAACAGGGTTCATTTCTTTTTGGATTTTTACATCCCCAGAACACCACACAGAGCCAGGCCTAGAGCCAGTTCTCAACACATGTTTATTGAATTGAGACCTACTAGCTAATAGCACAATTTAATATAGCATTTCACAAATAAGTTTTATGACAAAAGCATTTCTCTTGGTCATGGCAGCAAAGATATCCAAATAAGGGGTTCTAATTATAGCTTGTATTTGCCCTCAAAAACATGATGTTCCTGGGAACAGCCTTCCACTTCACAGATGCTAAGACTTTTCTTCTTTCAAGAATTCAGACTCCATCCGCTATGTGCCAGGAAGGGGACAAACCACACTGACAGGTGCCTCACTTGCCTCAAAAACCAATCCTCACAATTTCTATTTTTCTTAGTTAAAGGAATTTCACAATTGTCAGATTACAATCAATCTTTAAGTGATTTATTTTTCTCTTCTCAAATTGTATTGTCTAATGGTGTCAGAAACTGTGATATGGTCTGTGTGACCTTACTATAATCCTAATGATTTGTGAAAAAAAAAACTGAAAAAGGGTTTTGACTGTTAGTAAGTTTTTCTACTTGACTAAAGAAATTTTGATAAAAGCTTAAGATGTTCAAATTTCTCTGGGGGCAGAACTTGTCTTGGATATCATTGCTTCTTTTTCCTTTCTTTTCTTTTCCCCTTCCTACTTCTTTTCATCTGTGTATGTTATGTTCATTATAGGTCCAGTGAAGATATGGTGACACAACAAAGAAGTCGGAGGGACAGAGGTGGAAGCCTTCAGATGCACCTCTCCCCGTTTTACCTCTGGGACGAGGAGTCTACAGACAGCTCAGGTTTTGATTTTTGTGCTGTTTAATTTTTATGTGAATTTTTTGGTGAAAATTCAGTACAATAATGGAGTCATTGCTGTCAAATCCCACTAAAACGGAGTTAAGGAACCACGGGAAAGAAAGGAAACTCTACTCAGGGCTGCCTACTCCAGAACTTTAGCATAGAAGCAATCTAAGGGGAAAACCTGTATCTTTAAGACTGTGTTTTGTCAGCAACTAACTTCAGAACTCTGACCTTACTACTTTGCTGCCAATCAGAAGTTTGCCATCTGTTAAAAGCAGGAAAAGAGCCTGTGACCTTTCCTCCAAAAAAACCCTGTGTAGATATCTCTGTGGTAGTGAAATTCCTTTATCCTCTGGTCACACCCAAGCATGTGTGTTTGGATTGCAATCCTATTCTTTGTTTCTTCCCAAACAAAACTTCTTTACTGTAGATTCGTCCTATTTTTTTTTTTTTTTACTTCTGATAGTTTGTATTAATGATTGATTGCACAGCCAAGATCTGCAACCATAGAAGGATATTCTTCATCAAAAAGGGCTTCATATAAGGCCAGTGTTGGCTCTAGGACTCACTCCCAACCGTGACCTCTCCTATTCCCCAAAGGGCCTGCTACGCTCTAATCCTTCCCTATGTGCACACGACTTTGAAACCTCCAACCTCGAAAATCAACATCAGACCTACATCTAATTTTGGAATATGACCCCAAAGGCTTCCCCTCTCCCCGGACAGTCCCAGCCCCGGAATCCAGATGCCCCGTCCTTGAGCTCGCCTCCCTGCGTTCTGGGACCGCTCGCCCTCGCTCCTGGGACCCCGGGAAGCCCCGGCTGCTCTCCTCCCCGGGAATCCCGGCCCTCTCTCCCAGCGCTCAGGACGCCCAGTCTAGGCGCGTGCCTCTCTGAGCCCTGGGACCTTGCTCCTCGCAAGGCGTGCCCGGGGCCGCCACCTCGGAGGCAGGCACTGGCAGGGGAGTAGCCAAACCCTCCGATCCGCCGGCGCCGCCTTACCCGCCGAGGACCGAGGCTGCAGGGCAGCTGGGAAGCCCGAGCAAAAGGCACACGGACCAGCCAAGCCATTTTGTCCGCAGATCTGTCCGGAAGACAGCACAGCGGGCGCAGGGCGGGCCCGGAGCGCAGAGATCTGGGGCGGGACGAGCGAAGGGAAGCTGAGGACCTGCAACCCAAGGCTGAGTAGGGGGTTGCCTCGTTTGGCCTCCCCTACTCTTTTCTGTGTGCTCCAGGCCCGGAGTGTTTTGTAAGGCGGGGCGTGGCAGCGACGTGTGCTTGTGTGGGTAGACAAACCCTTGGGCTCTGCAATAGTGTGCAGATTGCACAAGCCACGCGGAGTGCCAATACTTTTTTTTTTCACCAGTGACTTACGTTTATTCTTTAAATGCATGTTTAAATTTCACAGTCGATGTGGCGCTAAATCACTTTATGTCAGTAATTTCTCGGGTTTAAAACAGGGCCTCACTTTTCCGAAGGCCAAAACAGCTGAAGTTTCGCAGGACACACCGCCCCTTCGCTGAAATGCAGCATGACTTGGACTTTATTTTTCTCTGAAATAGCCTAAGGCACACCTAAAAAGCAATCACTGGCCTTTAGTACGGTTAACTCTTGAAGTCAGAGCTTTGAACTGCGCAGATCAGTTTGTAAGCTTTTTTATAAGCTCCTCCTTCCTTGACTTGAGATGAGAAAACGAAAAAAACCTGGCAAGCCACATAGCCTAGAAATATATATAATAAATACATAAATATATATAAAAAACCTGATATGTCATGTATTCATAAAATATATGTAGATAAGTCCATTTTATGACTTACCATTATAAAATATACCCGATCTACTTGAAAAGTTAAAATTTATCAAACTTGAAGTGCACAGACTATACACATGGAGTTATTTTCACTCAAGAGAAATGTAAAGGTCATAATGAAGAGCTAAACCACAACTATTTTAAATTAACTGCAGTACACCCTATACAGTTACCTCCTGTTGTTATTGTGATGACCCCAGGTGTTGCAAGTAATGTTTAAAAACTATCTGCTTATGCATGGTTTATTTCTCTAGGAAATTGCATATTGCAGTAATAGAGGATCTCTCACAGTTCCTTCTTGTTTCTCACTATATGTAACACATACAAAATAGGTTTTTATGTTATTAGTAAGACTTCTGGTAGGTAGCAGAGTATTAGTAGTTAAACTTTGGGAGAGTTGCAAAGGAGGCTATCTTTTTATTTACTGTCTTTCCTTCCCCTATATCCAGTACAATAGTGAATCCTTAACACTTGTCCAATGAGTAAGTCCTGACACTATTGCCATTTTCTAAAGATGCTATCATAAAAATAACAGAAAGGAAAATTTGTAACATTGATGGGAACTACAGAAGAGCAGACTAGGGCATAAAATAAGCAGCTGGTTCCAAAAGCAATTAATTATTCCTATTAAGCAGGAGCCATGGTATCTAAAATCAGTGCTTGTGATGTTGCCCATTTAAAGCTGGTATTTCTCAACATTATTCTTTGTTTCAGACTGTTCGGCACCTGCCTGGGTCACCTTTCCCATTGCTGGAGTGAATTATCTGACACCCACAATTTAAACAAGAATTTTTTGGGGTAATGGTTTCAGAGGATTCAATCCATGGTCAACAGGCTCAAAGGCAGGAATTTCATGGCTGAGCTGCTTAGTTCATGACAGTTAAGAAGGGCAACAGGGAAGCAGGGCTGGAGAGGAAAGGAATAGGGAGCAGGTATAGTACCCAAGGTCATATCTGCATGACCTACCCAGACACACTCAAAGTGAGCTTTACTCACCCCCTAGGTAGCACCCAAACCAATAAAGTTGACAGTTAAACTTAACAGTCACAACACATTATATATACATTTGATTAATCTTCACAAGCTTTTGTAAAGTCTATACTACAATTATCAACATTTGGGAAATGGAAACAAAGGGCAGTTAGGCATTATTGTCCAGTTTATGGAATCAAATAGAATCTGAGCCCAGATATCCTTGGCTGTAGGCTCCATGCTCTTAGGTACTGTACTTTATTTCTTATTGCTAGGATGTGGACTTAGTAGTTAGACTGCTGGGGCTCAAACTGATCTATACATCTCACTAAATGTGTAATGTTTAGCCAGTTATAAACTTTCTCTGCCTAATATCCTTGTCTGTGAAGTACACATATAAAAGGTTCATAAGGTTCTGCCAAGGCTTGGACATTAGTTATTGTTTATCACCAGAGACTGATATGTTTTATCTGCTTGGCACATAGAAGGCTGGGGGTTTTTTCTGACTTTACAATTGTCTGAGCAGACTGTCTGCAATTCTGGTTTAAAACTTATTCAATAATAATATTGTTTCCTTTTGTCTTTGTATAGAGGTTTTCTGGTGTGGTAGGAGATTTTTGTCCTTAATTATATTGCCCCAATAGCAGCAAATGTTAGCCAAAATTCTAGGCACCTAATCCTAAAATACATAATTACAACAGCCCAGACTGCTGTGGTAATAAAGAACCATGTCTCCTAGAAATGGCCAGGGGGTTACTTAGGGGAAAGGGAAGGAATAAAATGACTGCAGAATCTTTCACTGGTTTCTGTCCCATTATTGAAGAATATCAGTAATGGTCACCCAAAAGTGAGTCAGGATTACTTCTAATGGGAGATGCAAGAAAAATGTCCACCAGCACCCTGAGAGTTACACACCTGATTGTGAGAAAAGGAGGCTAAAGTTGTCAGTGTCCCTCTCTCTGGCTTTTGATTGGGTGCTCACTCCAGGGGTTGTACATCACAGGGACTGCTTGAGAGTGGCGCCCCAAGGACTCTGTCAAGTCTGAGGCTAAAGGGATCCAGGGGTTGCACTGAGAAGCAGACAACCTGATTATTTTGTTCTTGCCACAACTCTGCTACAAAGTGGCTTTCTGCTATTTGGCAAATAAAATTTACCAACTTTATTTTCCTCATAATTAGAGGCAATGATGTAATTCACTTCAAAATCACTTGTAGTTCTATAAATCTATGATTTTGCAAGCAAGTTAAATTTAGCAGAATTATTACAGGTCACCTGGTGTGATACTAAGAAGGTCATTGTGAAATGATGCTGTTAGGATAAAGTAACTGCTAGGTATGTCTTATGTAACTCTGGTGCTGGAATACTTCATTCAATTTACACCTTTTAGATAGTTGCAAAGCTTCAAACTTTCTAAGTACTTTGCATTCATTAATTAGTTTTTGAATGACTTCTGAAATGGAAGTTTGCCATTATATATAGTTATTATTTGATCTCATTCTGTAAAGTCTGGTCTTAATGCTCTGTTATTTGAGATTTTACATTCTTTTCTTTCAATTTTTTAAAAGTAAGTTATGCCAAACAGCTAATTTGATTCAAGTAGTTCACTGATGCTTCAATTCATTCTACTAAGTATATGCAGATTAGTCTTACACATACTGTTATATTCCCATATGAAGGTGAAATAAGTAAGACATACAGAAGTTAAATTATTTATTCTAATAAAATACATTTATTTTATCTACTGAATAATCTCCAGGATCATAAAATACATCTTGAATCAATCTTTGTTCTCCAATGCTTCTTTCCCCCACACCCCACTGACCTCAGTTCCAAAATAATAGTTGGGATAAGAAGTGAAAGAGGTTCAGTGAGTAGTCGAGTCCATGCAGTTAGGTGGTGGCCATGTGTCCACACTATGATGACTAACAGAAATACAAGCATAACTTAGACAATAGGGGCCAGAAGACAACTTAGACACCACCACCAAGGAATGAAAAAGAAGCTAATGTGTGTTTTATACCTACCATGTATAACATAGTATCTAATTTAATCCTAATAATAATATTGCAAAGCTGCTATTACTTAATCCTGCTTATTGAACTACTTTTGATAGTTGCATTACTTATCTTGAGACAATTAAATTCTACCTCTGTTAAACCTTTAATTTAAATTAACCTTATTAGAAACTAGTGGAAGGGTTAATAGAATTTTGGAGAACAAGATAGTCTTGCTTGTTTTAGTGGTGTTGGAGACTGAACCCAGGCCAAGTACTCTACCATTGAACTATTTGCCCAACCCTTTTCAAAATCTTTCCCAACTATTTTCCAACTATTTTCCCACTATTTGCCCAACGCTTTTCAAAATTTTTCCATGAGATTGGGTCTCACTAAGTTGGCAAGGCTGCTCTGGAACTTGTAATCCTCCCACTTAGGCCTCCTGAGTACCTGGGATTACACCCATGCTGCATACAGTGATCTTTTAAATGGTCTTACACTGAAAGGAATGGAGAAAGAAATTTAAGATATGTAGAAGAGATAACTGGTAAAGTAAGACCCTAGGAGAAATGAGAGGAAAGAGGTTTATGTGAAATTTGAGGAACTGTTCCTAAACTGGAAGATCAAGTCATATCCAGAAGTCAGATACGAAGGCCCCTAGTTAACAAGACAGACTCCATATTGCTGCTTGACCCACCTGCCTGCCCTTTAGATGAACTCAGAAGGAGAAAGCTTAGAAACCTCCTCCCCTTAGAAAGTCTCTTTAGAAATAACAATTAATCAACTATTGTTTTAAAAATGATGTAACAGCAGGACGTTCCACTTCTGTACCTTTTGCTTGCTTTACTAGTTCTATCCCATAGCGGGGCCTAGAAACTGTTGGCCTCAAAGGTGTATAAAACATGTTTGTCTCCCCCGAGTTGGGGCTCGAGTCCGATGCTCAGCTCCGGTCTGGCCGGTAGTAAACTCCTGTGTGGATTTAATATCCGTCTCTGATTGGTTCTTTCTCACTGGGTCTAACAAGATATAAGAAGGCAAAGATAAGACGTGGGTATAGATTTTAAAAGAAAAGAAGTTTGTCTCACTATAGAGATAGAAGTAGAATATAGTCATCAATTATAAGAAAACTCATCAATTTCCTTAATAAGCTGTGATTCCATATTATTAGATGGCAGGGAAAGGATTACCAGATTTGAGGAATTCGGCAAGTAATGATACAGCTCTTCAGGTTTATGAAGACTAGCTTTTCTTAAACGAGGAAGAAGAACTAAAGAATTATGCTCTGAACTTCAAATAATTTGTTTGTGGGTTTGCTTTATATTTTCAAAGACACACAGACTTTACTCAGAATCCTCACTGATTAGCTCATTATAGCACTATTTCATGGTTTGGGCTTTGTTAGAGCTCATAGGCATGTGAGCTGTAGACCTGAGCAAGAGCTAAGGGTAAAAGCAGTTATGAGAATGGCAGTGCAGT